AGTTCTAGACTGAGTGGGTATCAGAGCTATTCACAGACATCTCAGGGGGAAGCTCAAGAATCTGTCTTTGAACAGGCATTTACTCCTCAGCTCCCTTCTCAATTACAATGGCATCTTAATAGGGTGAACGAAATGGCTTCTTCCCAGTATCTAATCCCATGAGGTTCAGCGCTCCCTCAATTCCGTTAGGGCCTTCTCTAAAGTTTAGAAGTCACAACTTCACAGGTAAGTGCCGGTACCTGCCCTCTTAAAGGTTACTTTTACTCCGTCTCAGGCTGCATCTCTGTTCTAGGAGTTGAGCTCAGCAGATCACTCTCTAGTGTTTTGAAGATTTTCAGTCCCAGGATCATCATTCAAACACATATTCAACATTTTTACTTTAGTGGCATTAAACTCAGTCTACCCAAAGCAACTCAAATTGTCCCCTTCTGATTTCCTGGTGAACAAAAGTTCTCTGGAGAAGCTATCTCCACAGTAACATTCCTGCAGAAGGCTTGGCCTTGCTTGGCTAGAACCTTCTGATTCTGAAGACAAGCAACATTGTAAGTCAATTGAGATGTCTTAGTCCTTCTAATATCAATGATCTTAACTCCATATCTCACCTAACATTCTTATTACTAAACTTTTCAGAGGCCAGCCATGGCGGTACTCATCTGTGATCCCAGTATCTGGGAGGCAGGAGGATTGCCATAAGTTTAAGGTCAGCCTAGAGAAACCCTATCTGAAAAAGACAAAACAAGGGCCTTAGGAGATGGCTCAGTAGGTAATCGTGTTTGCTGTGGAAGCAAAAGGACCCAAGTTCAAATCCTCAGTACCCACATGAAAGCCGGCCAGCTGTGCCAGCATGTCCCTATTGTGGTCCAAGACTCTGAATCAACCCAAGCGACACAAGAGGTTACCAAAAAGCAAGATTTAATGCAAGGCAGCATAAAAGAAAGAGGGAAGAAAGAGGCCGATCAATCAGGATCACAAAACAACCTTGGAGCTGAACTGTGACCACAGTGTCAGTTGAAGCAAGTATTTAAGCATAAAAATCATAAACATTTGTTGACAAGTTACAGTTCCAATTTTCACCAGTCGGAGTTCAAAGATTGGGGGCTTTCCTTAAGTGTTTCATCCTTGTCCATGGACACCCAGTACAAGCTTGTCAGTCCAACCAATCAGATTCATTTGTTCCTTCTGTAGTTAGGAACAGCCATGGTGTTTCTAGAGAACTAAAGATGCATAACAACTATTTCTATGGTTTCCGGAAGAGGTTGGTCAGCCATTGGAGAGTTTCCAACTCCCCTGAGGCCTGGGAACCTGAACTCTATTTCACCCTACAGGTAAGATGGAGTCTGAAGTCAAAATGCCAGCACGTAGGACGGGTGCATTTGGTCTGTATCCAACATTCCAACACTTGGACAGCAGAGAAGGCGGACTGGTCTCAACAGCCCCCTGATTAGGTGTCCTAGTTCACTTTCTATTGCTGTGGGGGAAAAGTAGACAAAAACAGCTTGGGGAACTCAAGCAGGTCTGGGACCTAGGGACTGGACCTGAAGCAGAGGCCATGGAAAAACCCTGCTTACTCAATTGTTCCCCAAGGTTTGCTCAGCTCGCTTTCTTACACAACCCAGGACCACATGCTTAGGGGTGGCACCTCACACAGTGGGCATGGCCCTCCAGCATCAATCAGTAATCAGGAAAGTGCCCCCACAGCTCTGTCTAGAGGTAAATCTGATGGAGACATCGTAATTGAGGTCCTCTCTTCTCAGATGACCCTAGCCTGTGTCAAGCTGACATAATACCCAAAAACTAACAAGCATGCCAGATTAGCTGAAACAGCAAGCTTCAGGTTTGTTCAGAGAGCCTGCCTCAGAAAACAGGCTGTAAAGTCACACACACACACACACACACACACACACACACACACACACACACACACACACGCATGCACAGACACAGTGCATAACTATAAGAAAAATTAAATCATGACATTCATAGGAAGATGAATGCAACTCGAAATCATTATGTTAACAAAACAGGACAAACCCTGCATGCTTTATCTCAAATGATATCTGTATGCCATTATGTATGTGTACATAGACGTGGCTGCGTGTTTATACAAACTTCTCAGAATCTAGCTTAGCCGACTTCTAGCCTCCTGGACAGCTTGAGAATGCTCTGAGGTGACATCTGAAAGGGATTAGCTTGCTGTGCTGGAGCCCGCCTCTCTGATGCTCCATATTTATTGGTAAATGTATTGTTTTGTGAATTTCTGTTCCCTGCTGACTACAGAAATTTACGCAACCCCTTCCAGGATGGAAGGTGTCACTTGAGGCAATGGCTCTATGTTCTCTAGGCCACAGTGACTTGTATTTGGCTCTTGGTTGTCTGTCCAACTTTTCCTTCATTGGGCTCAGATTGAATCCATTTCTTCCAGGAGAGCTCTCGTAGCCGACAGAAGACAGGCCCCTTGGTCCGGCGCCCACCACCTCCAGCCATCATCGCTGCTGAACCTCAGCTCTGAGATACTCACTTCACCTTCAAAGTCACCAACAGTTAGGCAAAAGGAGTTAGGAATGTGATTCCTGCTGCCTGCGTGAGCCAGGACCTATCCAGGAGGGACTGCTTCTTTATCAGAGTTCAGTGAGTTAGTTTCAGGATGAAAACTGAATTTCCATTTGAGTTCCAAGTTGAAGCTCAATGAATTTTAAAAATCCACACCAGACTGTGGTATACAGAATGAAGCCTATGAGCAGAAAGCTGCCTTCCACAGACAACTGATTGAGATGGGCAGTACTTGGAACCTCTAGCTTTCTCAGGAAAAATGGCAGAGGTTGGCTTCCAATGAGTGTTTTTGTATGGTTGGTTTTGGTTTTTCGAGACAGAATTTCACTGTGTAGCCCTGGCTGTCCTGGAAGTCACTCTGTAGACCGGGCTGGCCTGGAACTCACAGAGATCTGCCTGCCTCTGCCTCCCACGTGCTGGGATTAAGGAGTACACCACCACTGCTCCCTATGGGTGTTTTTGAGTGGAAATTTTAAGAGACTCCATGAGCCAGGGAGACACACTTACCTGTTATGACTTTCTGACCATTTTTGGAGCAGTTCATTACCTTCTAGTAAGATGTAGTTGTGGGTGGTTTGAATAAAAATGGCCCCCACAGGCCCATAGGGAGGTGTGGCCTTGTTGGAATAGGTGTGGCCTTGCTGGAGGAAGTGTGTCAGCTGGGGCGGGCTTTGAGGTCTCAGATGCTCAAGTCATGCCCTTTGCGATCTGGATGTAGAAATATTAGCTCTTTCTCCAGCATCATGTCTGCCTGCCTGCATGCTTCCTGCCATGGCGATAATAAACCTCTGGACTAAACCTCTGAACTGTAAGCCAGCCCCATTTAAATGCTTTTCTTCCTAAGAGTTGCTGTGGTCATGGTGTCTCTTCACAGCAACAGAATCCTAAGATAGTAGTTAAATCAAAACAGAGACATCTGGAAATGCCACGGAATCACTGACTTTACCATGTCCCAGGACAAAACTACAGCCATTTAGTTTAAGGGTTTTAATTGGCTTTCTCTTCAGATTGTAAAACTAGGCCATACATACTTCATTCCTCAAAATACAGTGAGCATTCCAGTGAGGTAGGCGGAGGTTTCTTTCACAGACACAAAGGGGCTGAAGAAAGTGGAAAGAAGAAGCATGTGATGGGCCGGGCGGTGGTGGCGCACACCTTTAACCCCAGCACTCGGGAGGCAGAGCCAGGCGGATCTCTGTGAGTTCGAGGCCAGCCTGGTCTACAGAGTGAGCTCGATCCAGGACAGGCACCAAAGCTACACAGAGAAACCCTGTCTCAAAAAGAAGAAGAAGAAGAAGAAGAAGAAGAAGAAGAAGAAGAAGAAGAAGAAGAAGAAGCAGCAGCACAGGAGCAGACTGGTCATTTCAAAGTTCCTCCCCTTGTAAGATATGGAGAAACAACATCAGGTTGCCTTTGTGCATGTAAGGATTAAGGCAGAGGCCGCTTCATTACCATGCCAACTCAAACAGCTGTTTCTGAGAAAGTGGAACAAACAGTTCCAGTTAGTGGTAAGTGACTCCTTTTTGGGGTTTAGCAAAGAACTCCATATGACTTCCTGCAATTTCTATTCAGCAGCCATATTTTTTATAGTAATGCTTTCATTCCTAAAGGCATTTTAAAATCCTTTAAAGATTTTAAATTTTATTTTAAATGAGTATATGTGTGTGTGTGTGTGTTGAGACTGGGTATGTGCTCCTGAGTGCAGACTCCTGTGGAAGCCAGAAGAGGGCTTTGGGTCCAGTGGAACTGGACTTTCAGATGTGTGTTGGGGGAGGGTTGTGGAGGTGGGTGCTGGGAACTGAATTTGTGTCCTCCCTCTACAAGAACAGAACCTATTTTTAACTGCGAATCATCTTTCCACCCTCCCTCCCCCAACACCCCCACTTTAGAATCCTTTAGAAAATGTTCTAGGGCTGGGCACAGGGGTACATACTGTAATTCCAGAACAGGAGGGGTAAGAGTTTGAGGCCAGGTTGGAGAATGGTGGTCTCTGTCTTTAATCCCAGCACTGAGAGGCAGAGGCAGGCAAGTCACTGTGAGTTCAAGGGCAGCGTGGTTGACAAATCAAGTGCGCAGCCAACCAGAGCTACACAGTGAGACTGTCTCAAACAACAACAACAACAAAAAGAGTTTAAGGCCAGTCTGGACTGCACAGACTTTGTCTTCTAGGGTTCAACAACAGCAAAAACCCACAAGAGAATGACTATTTTTTTTGTTTTGTTTTGTTTTTTTAACACAAGGTTTCACTATGTAACCTTGGCTTTCCTGGAACCTGCTCAACAGAGAAGGCTGGTCTCAAGGAGAACCACTTGTCTCTGGGATTAAAGGCGGGTGCCACCATACCCAGCCTGAAAGTGTGTGTGTGTGTGTGTGTGTGTGTGTGTGTGTGTGTGTGTGTGTGTGTGTGTGTGTGTGTGTGTGACTGCAGATGGCCAAGAATCATTCAGCAGCTCCCTTACGGGTCAAAGTTAAGTTCAAGGTTTGACTGTGACACAGAAGAAATACAAGGATAAACAGGGCAGTGTCTACCTCAAAAGCCGCTAAATCACCGCTGTCCCAGTCCGGTGAAAGCTTTGGTTTGAGGCCATAGAGTAGCCTCAGGATCAAACTGAGCAGCTTTCCCCTGGAGTCGGTGCCCTAGGGCTCACACCTTTGTGGGGTGGGGTGAGGTGGTGGGAGCCCCACCAGCTGAATCGCATATAATAGGTGCCTAACAAACAGTCATCGAAGCAGCTCCCGGTTTTCCTTGGCAGATTCTGGCTCAAGTCTACCTCGACTACCAAACTCGAGCGTGGGCAAACCAAAAGGCTCGGCTGGGCAGCGCCCGCCCGTGCACTTGGCTCTGACCCTGCCAGGCGCTAGGAGGGCGTGACGCGCTGCCCGCACGTCTCCTCCCCGTCCTTTGGCCTCCGAGAAGCGCGCAACGACTCCCACGTCCTCGGTTGAATTCCGGTCCGTAAGGAACACGAAGCCGGACCCCGGCGAGGCCCGGGCCGACAGAGCGGTGAGCCGAGGATGCGCGGGCTGGGAGGCGGCCCGGAGGATGCGCGGGGCAGCCTGAGCTAACGCTGCCAGCGGGAGCCCGAGCCGGCGGGCTTGCGGGCGAGCCGGCGAGCGGGCGAGCGGCTTGCCGGGGCGCGGCCGTGGATCCGGGTAGCCGCCGGGCGGCCACATCAGCGGCGTTCGGCGGGCTCGGCTGGCTGCGCGCGTGCGCGGGGCGGGGCGGGGCGCGCGAGTGGCCGCGGGCACCGGGCGGCTGTCAGCGGCGGGCCCGCGGGGCTGGGCCGGGCTCACCGACTCCGGGGGTTGTCGCCGCGCTGGGGCTCGGCGGCTCCGGCGTGGCTAGGTGTCGGAGGGCGCTGGAGCCGCGGCCGGCGGGATCCGAGACCGCCCCGACTCTGCCCAGCCCTGCCCGCCGCTGCCCTCGGGCTCTGCGTCCCACTTGCTCGGGAGGCCACGGTAACCAGGGGCGCACACCGAGGGATGGAGGAAGGTGAGCTCGGATGCAGATGCTGGGAGGCGGGCGGCGCTCACCCCTGGAGCCCGCTTCGGGGCTCAGCAGCGTCGCCACCCCGTTCTTGGCTCTATGAGTGTACAATATGTCTCAATTTAAGAAGCCTCGGTGTCCATTTATGGCGAGAGCTGGCATGTTCGGATGTGTTACATATTATATTCTTAGGTATGTTACACCTATGCCCTCTTTTTGTAAATGGACGTTTGATCCACTGATACATCAGGTGGCGAATGTGCTACTTATCCCTCCAAAATGTGGCTTTTCGTATATTCATCTAGTTTTGCAACTGTCACCACTATCCAGATCTCTTTTTCCTCCGTAATCTCCAAAAGAAACCCCGTACCTGTTAGTTGCTACCCATTCCCTCACTGTGCCAACCCATTGACAACCACTAATCTTTCTGTTCCTATGCATTTGCCCTTAGTGGACACTAATGAAATCTAACAGTATTTGTGGTTCCCTGCCTCCCCATTTAAAGACAAGATTTTGGCTCTTCCCTTAGGGGAGCAGTTCTCCTGCATAGTTCAGGCTAATCTGAATTCGCGGTCCCCTTGCCTCAACTTCCCAAGTGGTGAGATCACAGGCTTTTGCCACACCCACCGTGTGTGTGTGTGTGTGTGTGTGTGTGTGTGTGTGTGTGTGTGTGTGTCTTTTTTTCTGGCTTCCTTTACATAACCTAATGTTTTCAAAGCTCATTTATGTTGCAGCAAGTGTGTGTCTGTTCTGTACTTTCTTAAAGCTCCGTGTCTGTTTGGATGTGGTCACTATCACATCCTTTCACTAGTTAATGAAGTTGCATTGTTTTTCACCTTTTAGCCATTGGATATAATTAATGCTGCTACAACATTTGTGGATGTGTGTTTTCAGTGCCCCTGAACACAAACCTAGGCATGGAATTGCTCAGTGCTTAACTTTTTGAGAAACTTTTAGGCTTTAATCAAAGTTGTTGCTGAATTTTATCCTCCCACCAAACAGTGCGGTTTCCTTAAATCACCGTTTGTCAGTTTTCACTGTTTTTAGCCACCCTAGTGGGTGTGACTTGGTATCTCTTTGTGGTTTTAATTTGGATTTCAGACCAGGGATTAAAGCAGTCTTTCCCATGCTTATTGGCCAAGAGTGTGTCTGTTCTGGAGGGACGTCTAATGAGATCCTTTGCCCCTGTTTTTGCTCTTTTTTTGTTGTTTTTGTTGTGGTTGAGTATAGGAAAAAATTCTAGATTTTGAATCGATGCAGGTCAAACTTGGGTAAAAATTGACTAAGTGGCGTTTGAGTCTTTCAGAACACCCTTTACCTGGTAATTCTTGGGCATTATTGTCCTTTCTTATTTTTAGATTTTTGGCTTTCTTGAGAAAAGCCACAGGAGGTCTGGTACTGGGTCCTGATGAGACTTACATTACTGTTTTTCTGTATCCTGTGTTAGCTTGAAAAGTCCAACTTATCATTAACTACAAGTAATTTATGGTGGATGTTGAACAAATTACTCGAACAAAATTTCATGTGCGTCTGTCTCAGTAAAGTGAAAGGTCTTTCTCCCCACTTCAGTTTGTGTAGTTCGATTGCAGTTCTGATATGTGTGGACGCAAGATAATTTGTTTGCTTTTTGAGGTAAAGTCTCTCAACGCTAGCCCTGGCTGGCCTGGAATTCACTGTGTAGACCAGGCTGGCCTTGAACTTGCCGCAATCCTCCTGCCTCTGCTTCCCAAGTGCCAGGATTGCAGGTGCGCACCGGCACACTCAGTGACATCATTTTGCCGGCGCTGAGGTTAAAAGCCACCTGGAAATGAATGAATGCTGCTGTGCTTTCTGCATGGTTGACTGCGGAGTGTGTACAAATTCAGCCTCAGTCTTTCTTTCAAAAATTACTAGAAGGGATGATATTTCTCTGAACACAAGTTCAAGATCAAGTTCGTGACCTCATTGCTGCTAAAGAAAAAAATATTTAATGAAACTTGCTTAATGGTGAAGAATAACTTTATTCAAGACCATTGTAACAATATAAAGGCCGTGACAGTGGGCTTGACACTGGGGAGACAGATTGGGTTTAACCCTGAGTGAGCTGTGGCTAAGCAGGAATTTATGGGTGAAGATCAGGGGCAGGGGCCGTGGATAGAGATGTATAAGAGGAAGCATCCCCAGTGAGGGGGATTCTGGGTAAGTCATCTTAGGATGATGATTCCTGCCGAAGACAAGCCTGGGCTCTGGGACACCTTGGTGAAGGATGAGGACCTACCTCCATCACATACCTGGGGAGGACGTTCTAATTAAACTGGCTTGGCAAGGCTCTTTGCTAAAGATGAAATTTGTAAGATGTATGGAAGACTCAGGAAACTGAATAGTTTGGTCATGCAAGCAATCTGTTACTGTTGAAACATATGCTATACAATTTCAGGAGCTTCCTAGAAAAGGAGGTTAAAGATTTCTCAGGAGAAATAATGGAGAGCAAGGGGTGAAAAGGATGGGAGAGGCGGCCTAATCCTGCTCTTCATCTGTAACTTACAAAGCAAGTAATCTTTAACTGTGCTTATGCCTCACAGCCTTTATTAGAAATCAGCTGACAACGTCACTATGTAACCTCAGTGTGCTTTTGCTTTGATTTACCTGTGAGCTTAACACTGAAAGTGTAAACATCGATATGTTATTGATTGTCCCCCGCATGCCCAATAGATGCTTCCCCTCAGCTCCCTGCGGTCCTAATACCACTTGTTGAGAACAGTTCTCTGTAAACTGGGCATGGTGGTACATGCCCGTGACTTCAGCCCTGGATCTCTTGTGAGTTTACGGTGAGCCAGGGCTGCCTCGTGAAACCCTGTTACAAACAAAGAAAGTGACCCCCCAGCAAAAGTGTCTACAGGTAGGTGGCCGTGCAAACTGACATGTTTGGGGGAATCGATCCCCGGTTGTTTTTTGTTTTTGTTGTTTTTGAGACAGGGTCTCTCTTATGTAGCTCTCGCTGTCCTGGAACTCACTATGCAGACCAGGGCTCCTAGAACTCACTTTGTTGACCAGGCTGGCCTTGAACTCCCAGAGATTCACCTGCCTTTGTCTTCCTAGTGCTGGGATTAAATGTACCACCATTCATACCTCAATCCCTGGGAAATGATGGTCTGAGTTGGCTTGCCTGATTTATGTAGTGGACTTCTAGGGACCCCCTCAGCTCTGTGAAATTACTGTAGTTAAGTTTATTTACCTTTAAAATGCATAGAAATGAACATTGATCATCTCTGTGGACATGTATAATGTATGTATATGTGTATATAGATATACATACGGGAGTGGCTAGAACTGTCTAACTCTATTTTGATTTTTAAACTTTTTGTTTGTTAGTTTGTTTTGCTTTTTAGAGACAGGGTTTCTCTGTGTAACAGTTCTGGCTGTCCTGGAACTGGCTTTGTAGAATAGGCTGGCCTCGAACTCACTGAGATCCACCTGCCTCTGCTTCCCAAGTGCTGGGTGGAATTAAAGGTGTGTGCCACCACTGCCCCACGATTTTTAAATTATTTTTATGCATGTATGTTTGCATCACATGCATGCCTGGTGCCTGTAGCAATGGAAACCCTAGTGGTTGTGAGCTGCCATGAGGGTCCTCGGGAAGTGTTGTTAACCACTGAGCCATCTCTCCAGCCCCATCTATTTTAATTTTAATGTGGGTGGATTTAATCATATTCCTTACTTCATAATCAGCTACTAAGGACATAGGAACTTTGTGTTAAGGAAGAACAGGACAGGTAAGTATTGAAGACTGTTTTAGCCAGGCTTGGGAAGCAGAGGCAGGAGGATCGCTCTGAATTTGAGGTCAGCCTGGCCTATATAGTGAGTTCAAGGATAGCCTGTGTAGAGAGACCCTGTCTCAAAAATGAAACAAAAAATAACTAAGAAAATTAAAATTACAGAAAGCACATTCTAGAGTTTTAGGCAAAACTTGATATATTTCAGAAAGTGTGATTCAGATGATGAAGAGGAAAGCAGGAACAAGAAGTAATTGGAACGTAAGGCTGTAGTAAGGAAAGAGATTTTGCTCCAAAAAGATGTCTGAGTAGGAAAAGTGGGAAAACCTTCTTTACTTAATTTAGTTCTCACTCTTTTTTCCCAAGTTCTGGTCCTTATTTGCCACTCTTTTTATTTTTATTTTTATTTATTTATTTATTTATTTTGGTTTTTCGAGACAGGGTTTCTCTGTGTAGCTTTGCACCTCTCCTGGAACTCACTTGGTAGCCCAGGCTGGCCTCGAACTCACAGAGATCCGCCTGGCTCTGCCTCCCGAGTGCTGGGATTAAAGGCATGCGCCACCACCGCCCGGCTGCCACTCTTTTTAATATGTATTCTTAAGGACTTATTTTTTTGACTGAACTCAGACTTAGAAGTGGAAGTTCCCAGTGAGGATAGCCTACGTCTCTTAGCAATCTGTTCCTGGTGTTTATCTTCATTCCTATTCCCCCCCCCCATCTTTTTTTTTTTTTTCTTTTTCCAATACAAGGATTCTCTTTGTTGCC